AGTTCATCCTGAAATCAAAATTAGAATTTTCATCTGAAATTTGCAAAAAGGAAATATGACTTGTTCATCAGTACTGTCCTCCCTAGGCTCAAACTCAGCTGTTACTTCAAAGGCGGGATTTGTCGATCAGTCTTTAAACAGAGCATGCCAGCATATGCCTTGGAAACTAAATGGACGACCATCGAATGTTGTCAAATGTGGATCACCTGATACACCTGGATCTATGATTGTAATAAATACACACACAAAGTGGTTTAAATTTTTGAATCGGATTTAATGCATATATATTCTGAAAACATCTTATTAAGAACATGAAAATATTACCTACATCATACCGTTTATACAACGTAATACACTCACCGGAGAAAGGTAATATGAAATCATAACAATGTGAATAATGGTGAAGAGTCAAATAACTAAGGTAATATAAATTGTAAATCAACAAAGTCCCGTGGTTGTTTTGCTCACAACAAAATCCCGGTGGCTTTTTGCTTTGTGGAAAATAATCATGTAACGGAAACATAGATCGCACCTTTTATGTCAAATTAAATAATGTAAATATAGTGAAAGCGATGCAATCAACTTACCAGACACACATATATACCCATACTTTGACGAATTACACCATTGACCATCGGGGTTCATTCTGTTGTGATTTAGCTGATGTCAGTTTGATTCATCTGAATGACAAGACTAAGTCGTCATTACAACCACTAGTTTCAACCAGACAATCACCAAACCACTAAAGCAGGGAATCTCTTACACCATCAAATCAAACACTTTATACAATAGCTGTACGTGGCCAATGTGAAAATTATTTTATTCCTAGCCAACGGAGTGTATAATTTCACAATTGTTGATATATTTATGTAAGGTGTTTTCTGTCGGAACTAGTTTAATGTATAATGTGTACACAAAGACAATAGGCGCACTACATGTAACAGCTGCATGTCGAGACTAAACCTCACAGAAAGAGAATTTTGTTATAGATCAATGAGTCTTCTTCATTAAAACAACATTACCACATATCATATCAGTTTAATTTCTTGTCACGCTAGAATAGATTTAATGTAATTTTTTTTCTTCATATTTGAGAAAAATATTATACTTACGCTACAAATGTTGGTGGCGGCATGTAGAACGGAGGACTTTTCCAGTTCGTAAACGACACATCACCACCAGTTGCATACTAAAACATTATTATAACTTTTATGAAAGAAATTATCGATTGATACATTATGACAATGTGTATAAGTCATATCATACTGTTATATTCCGATAATAGTGCCACAGCTGTATCTTGCTCGGCCTGGTTGCGGATCTCTACAAGCTTTGAATTCCTGGCTTCGCATTCAGATTTAGCATCTACCCAAGTCGGTCTCTATCGGTCACGAATTCATACGTAGCTAAAATAAAATTGAATAAATATTTATATTAGTCATACAATTTTAGCAATATTATTTATTGCTCAAATAATACATAAGTAATATTCACTAGTCTGTAAAACGTGCTGAACATTGACTAAAGTTAACTTCTAATTCACAACCTGATATCCCATTGTATATATAAAAAAACACGATTGACACTGCGATATTTATTCAACTAATGTAGCAATACATACAGTATTCATTTTATAGACTCGCAATTGTGATATTCCGTTCAAACTCAAGCGTATTGTCTTATTAAAGAGCATTAATGCCGTTCAAATTCAGTTATGAGTAATGGAAATAGATCTCGGACTAAATGTCGAGAATTTTATATGTTTTTTTTTCCCTTGGACAAATTTTGCATTTCAGTACAGTCGTTTCTCTTCTAGATAGGATATGCTGATGTCCGTGACATGCAAAAAGTTCTAAACATAGACAGTAAGCCAGTGTTACTACAGTCAATGTAATTAAGACAGTGTGACTACAGTCAATGTAATTAAGATTGGTAACACGTAATAGGAATTATGGGGTAAATGAACTAATAAAGAAAGTGTTAATTTACTACTCACTTGATCGCCTCCCAATTGATCTCTGTGAAATAAAACAAAAACACGAATAGTAATTCTATATGATAACATAAATTCGTTTCTTTTACTCATAATTAGACTAGAAGTGTGTTTCGTTTCCGAGAAAAGAATAATAACTGTAATAATTAGTATGAATTGTATTTTTTTCACAAGACTACATTCGTAAACGATATCATTTGTAAAAATCAGAAATAATAAATTATAATTGTATTCCTATTCACGTTAAAATATTTAAACACTATAGCTTCCGTTGGTTGACAAACGCATAACATAATATAATTATATTTTATTTCTGAAAAATATTAAAACGTAATATTAATGTGTAATGTAAGAGAAACGGCTGACGCAACACACCGCAGCATTAACACGATTTGTGGTGCACAAAGTTACTCAGTCCAAAATGGGGAATGTTAACATGCATATAACAGAGTTCAGAGTTGCAGTCTATTATGTTCAGATACACCACCCGAATGCATTTTTATTGGTGTACAATTTATATAATCCAAGTAGTTCCGGTATGTCGTATTAACATTACACTAATGTATATTAATAACTAGTTTTAGTGTTTTACACCATGTAGCTACTTCGCGATGTGTTATAATGCATTTCTCTACTTTCACATTTATTTCATTTTATTTTCAATTCTTATTTTGAACAGCCATAATCAATGTTTAACCGATCCCTGTTTCAATTTATTTATTTTTCTTGACAGTCCCTTAAAATGTTCAATCTGTCCAACCATCAAACAATATAACCAAAATTAATCGAAATATTACTAATATAGTAACACTGATTTGTATTTTATAACTGTTTTTTTTTTAGAATATCAGGATGAAAAAACGATCACCATGCTGTCTCTTTCCTGCCCGACGAAGCATCATGTGATATTACTTATCTTCACTATAGCGTTATGAATCGGCCTTGCAATTTGTATTGCACGGATTGTACATATTTTTGTCCAAATAACACGATAGAACAATAGAGATGTGCACATCTTGTCGTAATGTATGGTTTTCCAGTTTGCTTTATTATAAAAGAAGCAATTTAATTAGAGCTAATGAGAGTGAACTAAGATAAAAACAGCCTAAAATATATTGAATTCAACATATCCTAAACTCAATTTCTAGGAGTTTATTTGTTTAAATGCAATTCAATATTAAACTAATTTGTTTATCTGCATTTCAGGTTAAATTCAAAATCACTCACATATAACAGTAACACTCACCCATATGTTTATCTGCGTTTTAGGTGAAAATAAAACCACCCACAAACAATAGTAGACAATTATTTGAATGAAGCGGCAACACAGTAATAATCAAATGATTTCTTCAAATAATATACTGTCGTTGTAATGAAAGACTAATTCAGGCTACACAAAATACAGAAGTAATCTAAAATACTTAAAATGAAATTTACCATGCCATACATGCCGAATTCCGACAAATTATTGTTATTCATAGCCTAGAAACACAGTGTTGAAATGCAATTTTCATTTATCTCCACACTTCAATGTCAAATTATCAAACCAATTTCTAGAAACAGATATGGAAGGAAATGCATTTCAAAAATCAAGATTGTCAGAGAAACTTGACTATAACTCCACCGAAACATCCTGATAAAAAAATCCCAAGCTTGAACACGTGTCGCCTGTTCGTAAATATAAAAAAACAGAAATGTTTGTTAATCAACATTGAATTCTCAACGATTCGAAAACAAGTTCAAGTAATAACAGGTGTCAATTACAATTACCAAATTCCTCCCTTTTTATCTAAATCACTGTTGATCAATTTTGCATTTGTTGTCGATGCTATGAACTGCTTGTTGCACTGATGTGCAGTAGATGCCCTTAGCTCCTGGCATGTAACTCTTGTAGCTTCTTCAGACTCAAACCATGGGGGTTAGCCTCATATGGCTTAAGATGGCCAAAATAAATTACTTTATGTTTGATCCTACATTTAACATACAGCAAGGGTGATTTACCACGTCACTGGGAATGGGCAAAACTCAGATTGGGATTAGTGGGGGATCTGCCGACATTATGTACATGTCATTAGGTATAGGCCTACTCATTTGAACTATAGTTTTGTAATGACATTAATTAATTAATAGCTGAATACATTGTTTTAACCTCAATGGTTAATTCCCATCTTAGTCTCTTCTGACGGGTTCAACCTTTAAATGCCCTCTATGATGTATCTTTGAAGTTGCTGTCTTACTATATTATAATCTGGTGTACTAAACATAGTAAGACTGTTGTCTCCCACATCTCAGTCGTTCCTACAAGTTGACATACTTCGTACATATGGAATATAAATTGCATTCTTGGCGTTACGTTACCTGTAAAATGCGAGTGGGATGGAGTAATGGAGGTCCAAGGTCGACCTATTTTTAGTATTTTATTTCTTTGTCAAAATGAAATGACTTTGTCAAAGCTGTTACAAACTGATTTAAAGTTTCAAATATACACATACTTAGCTTGTATCAGTCAAGCTAAGCGTCTTTTCAACAGCGACAGGGCTGTGAATAGCCATATACATACTAGGATGTGCAGTACTAATTCGAAAAAATTAAATAGCTCTTATAATAGGGGGTTGCCGAATTGATAGCGTCTGTGCTGGGGTCAACAAACCGGAATGTAGGACAGATATTGAACGTTCCAACACCATGAGTCGCAGTGCACCGGACACCAATGTTTCCAACTCCCAACGTAACAATACACCCAATATAAAACTGCCATCATCTTTCAACTAACTCTTACCAGCCTGGGAGTACTCGTGGTGAGTAACCTCATGCAATAGGAAGGCGCACAGTACCATTTGGTGAGTAACCCCGTGCAAAGGAAAGAAGCATATTACCAGTTGATGAGTAACCCACTGCAATGGGAAGGAGCACATAACCATTTAATGAGTAACCCCGTGCAATGGGAAAGGTCACAGTAACATTTGGTGAGTAACCCCTGTGCAATGGAAAGTGCAGTACAATTTGGTTAGTAACCCAATGCAATGGGATGGGGCACATTACCATTTGATGAGTAACCTAATTCAATGGGAAGGAGCACAGTAACATTTGGCGAGTAACCCAATGCAATGGGAAGAAGCATATTACCATTTGGTGAGTAAACCAATGTAATAGGAAAGATCATAACCCCATTTGGTGAGTAACCAGGTGCAATGAGAAGGGGCACATCACCATTTGGTGAGTAACCCAATGCAATCGGAAGGAGCATATTACCATTTCGTGAGTAACGCAGAGCATAGAAAAGGAGCACAGTACCATTTGGTGAGTAACCCAGAGCAATGGAAAGGAACAGAGAACCATTTGGCGAGTAACCCAATGCAATGGAAAGAAGCACAGTAACATTTGGTGAGCAACCCAATGCAATGGGAAGAAGCATATTACCATTTGATGAGCAACCCAATGCAATAGGAAAGATCATAACACCATTTGGTGAGTAACCAGGTGCAATGAGAAAGGGCACATCACCATTTGGTGAGTAACCCATTGCACTAGGAAGGGGCACAGTACCATTTGGTGAGTAATCAGGTGCAGTGGGAAGAAGCGCATTACCATTTGGGAAGTAATGTCGTGCAATGGGAAGGTGCACATTACCATTTGGTGAGTAAGCCAATGCAATGGGAAGGAGCATATCACTATTTGGTGAGTAACCCAATGCAATGGGAAGGAGCACAATGCAATTTGGTGAGTAACCCGTGCAAAGGGAAGAGGTGGAGTACGATTTGATGAGTAACCATTTACTGAGTCACCTTTTGAAATGAAAAGAAGCACAGTATAATTGTGTGGAGTAACCCTAAGCAATGGGTTGGAGCACAATACCATTTGGTAAGTCACCCCACGCAATGCAAAGCGCCTCCATGTCATTTGGTTAGTAACCCCATGCAATGGGAAGGAGCGCAGTACCATTCGTTGACTAATCACTTGCAATAGGAATACACTTGTGATGTATTTTGAATTCAGTATCATTCAGTGCGTGACTTTCAACAACAGGCAAGACATATGTCATTATACACTTGAGTAATGCTGGCATTTACTTGATGATATATAAAAATGAATCTTGGACAATAGTCAAAATATCGTTGGTTAGTAACGTTCAACATAATATTGAACATGTTGAACAAAGTTAATAAATTAGAAACAAGCGGCGGCATAGTAACGACAATGAAATTGCAAGACATTATACATTTTTAAGGACTGAAACATGTGAAAGGAAGTTGCTTTTGAACTCTAAATAAAATCGCCAAAACAGACAACAAATTTAGTACATGACAATACAATTTAGGTCACAAGTGCCTAGCAACATTGTACCTCAAAACTGTCATGTTGGAGGGTAGTACATACTCTTGTATTATCCCTAGTCAAGGTTTATCTGCAAGACATCAATGTCAACAAGTCGCGATTTAGGTATGTGAAAAATACAATGCCATACACTTGGAATGATAGTCTATTGTGACCGAATCTTAATGGTGACACAGAAAAATGGAAAGGTTAGAAAAAAAAACATTTAAAAATTTGACCATTTGTCTACGAGAACACTGGCACTGGGCGTATCTATGAATCAATATGATATGTCATACACTGTTTATTTTTAAGTCATTCAGCTGATTGTTTTCGTAGCGGAAAACAAGCGCACACGCGATCGTAAAGGGAAGGACAATCGGTCTTCGTCGGTGGAAGCGCTGTTAAATATTCCTCAGGTTGCCATCCTTTTTTACAGGTCGTGACAAGACCAATATTCTTAAATTTTCCGTCAATTGTACTACCTTCTGGTATAGTTGTTTTCAAATGATTATATGTGAATTTTGGTAACGTAACGCAGTCAAAATCATGAAAAGATTGATGGTTATTCAAATAAGAAAACAAAAGACTACAGCATGTGTATAGCGCCCTATTTTGTTTTATCCAGGTATGTTAACACAAATTAATAATAGTGAGACAGAAAACTAAGATTATCAATACAGCATCTGTATGACCCCATTCTTATGATTATATTCCAACAGAGTGGAAATGGTGTCACTAAATTAGTTACAATTTACTGGAGTTATTATATGAGTGTGGGGTGTAGAGTGATGTTAACAAAATAGTATTACCGCAATCTGTGCGTTTTTTTAGTGTAAATTAGAAATACCCATTCTATGTCTATGATATTTAAACATTTTACACATAACATTTTTCGACGAATTTCTGATGGAATTACTGGCGCAGGTTAAATATCCATATTAAATATTCCATATAGCATCATTTATTTTATATTATTTTGTATATAATGCGGATATAATATAGCAGATTCAAAGTCATTTTTGGAAATTTACCAGGACAGAATGACGTGTAGGTGTTATGAATTAAAACAATAGTTCAATCTGCTTCTCAAGCTTCGTACAGGTAATACATTTTTTTCAGAACGTAATCTTGTTGTTTATAATTTTGAAACGCCCTAACCAATGCTTTAACGACTTCATGATCAGATTGAACACAAGTAACATATTTAATTAACACATGCTACCATCAATCTGGCCACGCTATGTGGCGCGGATCGCGTGGATGGGTTTCATGTTCTCTGCACGTAATAAGCTCGGGAATGCCTGGTGGTCGAGGGGAAGACGTGTAGTGGCGTGAAGCTATGCGATTAGGTGTCGTACGCGAGCGCCGGTTCGAGTCACGCACGCAGTACGTATTTACTATAATTAGACGTAGTCTTTACCTTGCCGTTTATTTGGTGTTATTTGCTTACTTTACTTCCTATGTCGACAGCAACTATGAGTAACCAAGTGTCAACGACTTCATGATCAGATTGAACACAAGTAACATATTTAATTAATACATGCTACCATCAATTTTTCGATTCATTTTTTCTTGCGTAGTCCCTTAAAAATACGTATTTGTCTAACCATCATAAAATATTGCCCAGAAATTACTAACACTGATTAGAATGTCTTGAGAGATAATTTGATAGAATACCACGATATAACAAAGAACGGGTAGACGTAGCACCATGTCATATTATTGTTTGTCTTCTGACCACCGAAGAAAGACGTGCCTATCACCGTCTCCTCCTCCTGATACAAGCAAGTGGTAACTAGTCTACATTTTCGCAAAGTTCTTTTTAATGAT